CATGGTATATAATACTTCCTATAGCATATTTCACTCAATTTTTCCTTGGCATAATTCCATTCTGCCTTTACCTTGATATGAGAAGATTCTAATATGCTGGACTATTCTGTGCAGTGAAACTCAGAATCAAGTCTTTTAAAGTCCCAGAACTTCTGATTGAGATTCCTGAAACTTCAACTGTCGGATCACTTAAGGTACATCATGTACCTCTTGTAACTTTTTTTTAGTCAGCTCGATGTTGTTATGCTGAGGATAGAAAGCAAAATATAATGTTTTTTTATTTAAATATGTTGAATAGGTTCCTTGTAAGAGTCAATCATTGGGGGAAAGATCTTCTGTGCTCTTCTTTTAGTGTGTGAATGAAATCCTTAAATTAAATTATGGGCAATGGAAGTGGTTGGTGATGTATGCAAAATTTATAGTACCATCTACCATGTCCATGTAGAATCTTATGAAAAATATTAGGGATGCCTTTCAACAATTATTATCTCTGGCCTTAAGATCTGTTGTTACTATACTTGGATTAGCAGCTAGTAGAAAATTGGCAGTAAAATGGATCACACTGCCCTGCTTTTATTGTTTTTTGTTTATTTCCCTGACATTCTTGTTAGCTCTGTAAATTTGTTGTGCTCTGTAAATATTTTTAGTGTCAAGAAACCTTGAAGATTTCACATTCGAGTTTTGTGTTGCAGAGAACTGTTATGGAGGCTGTAACTGCAATACTTGGGGGTGGACTACATGTAGATGTCCTCCTCCAAGGTAAGAAGGTTAGAGATGACAATAAAACATTAGTTCAAGCTGGAATTTCTCGTGGAGATAAGCTGGATGATCTGGGCTTTACTTTGGAGCCCAATTCCATCCAAGCCCCACCACTGCTCATTTGTCCTGAAGAGCCCCGTCTTCTTCTTCCCAGTGATGCTGCTCAGCCACAAACTAAGTAGTGCTCTTTTCCTTCCTTTTATTCTGCTGTTGTTTTCTGGTCAACCTGGTAATTTCCTTGAACAGTCACTCTGCAGCTATATTTTTTTTCTATATTTAATTTAGGCTGCAGCAATTTGATAGTATGCATTTAGGTTCTTTAAGTCTACTCGTTACTACAAGAGTTATTTGGTCTGGTTGTTATCTTCAAGAAGTAACTATGGTACTTTCCATCCAATTGTTCACGTGTTGGAGCTATTTGTTTTCTATTCCTTATGGTTATAAATTGCTCTAGCTTGTTCCCTTGGTTAGATCAAACGAATTTCACCAATAATATAAACTAATAAGTTTCCCTCTTTTAATTACTTCAGGTTAGATTTGGTTCCAACATCAGATGGTGGGAGGTCTAATCTCAAATCAGAACCTCCACTTAACCTCATTGGGAACTATCTGGAGAGTGATCATGATTCAGTCCATTCCCCCGCAGATACATTATCAGTGGATAAAACAACAGAAGATGTTCGTCCACTTATTGCCATTCCGTCAATGAGTGTCGAGTCACTGCCTATGGTTCCAGCTTGTAAAGCTAGACGCTCTGAAATTGTTCAACGTCGCATCAGGAGACCCTTCTCTGTCTCTGAAGTGGAAGCGCTCGTCCAGGCAGTCGAAAAGCTTGGTACTGGAAGGTTAGTACCTGCTGTTTTTAGCCAATTTATTGAAATTTCGGTGCCGAATAAGGGTGTACTTGGATGTGAGAAGTTGGATTCTCATTTTGCTCTGACTACATCCAAATTTCAACATTGCATATTTGGCTGAATGTTTTTGCAACTCAAAAGAGATGTTGTAAAAACAAAATAACTTAAAACTAGGAGAATTGTCGCATTCAAATTAAAGAGTGTTTCAACAATATGAGTTGGGAGTTGAAATTATATGTTCTCGTGAATGCATTTGTCATTCAAACTATTACTAACCAAACACACTAAGAATGGAAGGCTCATGGTTTGATGTTATGGTTGATAAGTAAGGATGTCTGAGTTGTGCCCACCTTTCCCTCATCCAAAGGCATAATGTTTTGCCTTATATTTTAGCCTAATGATGGTTCTGGTTTTGTTCCTGCAGGTGGAGAGACGTCAAAATTCGAGCTTTTGACAATGCCAAACATCGAACTTACGTAGATTTGAAGGTATGAGGTCTCCACATCATTTATTTGGGGTGTGCCAGTTACACATACCCATCAACACTTTGGCACATTTGTGTTTTACATCTTATACTCACGATCATTTGCGCTTACACCACAGATAAAACATTGCTATTTCTGTAAATCCTGGACATTGATCTTTTCTTGTGTTTCCACTTAAATCTATTCTATCATTTTTGCATGCCTACCATTATTTGGATACTTTCCCACTTGGAGTTGCGATCTTTTTATTCTTGTATTTTCTGGGTGGAAGGTAGTAATAAGTGTGCGTGCGCGCTTATTACTACCGTCCACCCATCCGTACATGCTTTTCTTGTTATTAGTGAACCACATATACAGTAGTAGTGTTCCCCTTGCAATCTGTTTTTTTGGTATTCGGAGGTTGGGGTACCTCTCTTATTGGGCTTATAGGCCGATCTTTGTAGGTCCAATAAGTTTTATCCACATATAACAATTTTAACTTTGAGCCTTGAGGAGTATAATCAAGTAACTAACAAGTATTGCCTCTCTCTGTATGTGTCCTTATCCTGTGCTGAACCATTCGGTTCATTTCTTCAAAGAAGTTGCTATGGCTTAAGACTACTGCTCTTGTTTTAATTCGCTTTTCTTGATGCAGGACAAATGGAAGACATTAGTGCACACAGCAAGAATATCACCTCAGCAGAGGAGGGGCGAGCCAGTCCCTCAACAACTATTGGATCGGGTCCTCTCGGCCCATGCCTACTGGGCCCAGCAACAGGCCAAGCTCCAGAGCAAGTCGGGCCCTGCTGATGCCTGCCTGCTCATCTAATTTCACCCTTTTTCTTCAGGTAGGAGCAAAACACCTGTAAAAATAATGTTGAAAGGAAATAATTGATGGATAGTCCCGGCGCTTGTATTTGTAGTATTCTCTCACACACGCTGTGAATTCTTATAGCCAGGGAAGGCTCCTCGTGATTTTTTATTGAAATTTTGAGGGGCTTTTGTGGGCGCTTGTACATGATGACTGTTCGATGAAACGGTAAAGGGAAAATAAATTTGCGCTTTGCTACAGGCCGGAGTTGCATCCTTATCCTGATTGAAAAAAAATCTTTTTTTTTTAATTAGAAAAGAATAACTTGAAGTATCAAGAAAGTCTCAATTGTTGTTTTCTGGTCTCATGATATGCTAACTTACAGATGAATTCTTTTGCTGGACATTGTATTTCTTCTTCTTCTTCTTCTTCTCTCTTTTAGTTCGCTGGCATATTGATTTTCTTTTCACTGGATTTCCTGTGCAAATTGATATTTGTTTTGATTATGACACTTGAAGCTCTGTGATATGTGGGCATAGACTTACGTATTCATTTTACTGTATATTTTCACCGGATTTTCTGCCCAATGTCATATTTGTTGTGATTATGATACCTCTAGCTCTGATGTACGAAAGTGTAGCTCCTGATTGCAGGCTGTGACTCGAATTTTCAAATAAGTGTACAAAGTAATAAATCAGTATTTTTTTTATAAAATTGCGTGATAATCATTTTAAAAATAAATTATTAAATCTATACAAAATGTGTTTAGGATTATTGGAGCACACACAAGCAACCGCACACACATAGGAGAGAGTGCAAGTAACCCAACAATACAAAGAGTTTTTACGAGGTTTAGCCAAACATGCGTATATCCACGGCCTTTCACTATCTTTCAAACCAATACAATCGTATGACAAATACGACTTATGTAAGTTTTGCACGAACAAACATGAAAGCCCTCGCACAACTCATATCTCTTACGGAGAAACCCGAGAACACCGATCACTCAATGGCTCGAAGAGACCAACAATCACACTACATCACTCAAAGAACTGAGAATATCAATTATCAAAAGTTCTAAGAGGATTCTCCCTCTCATCAAGAGGATGACTTTATCTACACTAAACATTCATTTTTTATAGCCTTTCTCCTTCACTATTACGTTCTCCTATGTTGACTAGGTTTCCAATATTCTCTAATCAATAGTTGCATTCATTCATTAATGAGATTTGGGGAATACCAACAAACAATACATAACCAATATAATCATCTATTTGAAACTACTGTTGAAATATTTTATTTTCGGGTAATTATCAGAAAACTTCCTTACTTTGGATGATTATCTTAAAACCCCCCTTAACTTAGAAAATATCAGAAAACCCCCTAGGTATAGGGATTATCACCAAGCTCCCAACCCCTAACTTTTAGATTTGATCAGAAAACCCCTAAAATTAAGGGGTTTTTTCTGATGTTTTAATTTTTTTTTGAGTGGGTTTCTGTAAATCGTCCAAAGTTAAGGGGGGTTTGATGACATTTAGCCCATTTTTTCCCCTGTCAAAAGACGACAAAAATTGCCACTTCTGTGCAACACTACCTTCTTCCAAATCAGCCTTTCCGTTCAAAAGTTACTATAACCGTTAATTTTCCAGCTCAAAGACCAGCTTTTTACCGCCTTACGTGGCAACGTCCAAAAAATCACCCCATCGCGTTCAGTTGCCACGTAGGATAGTCAACAATCTGGTCAGCACATGACGTCACCCGACACGAACGTTCCTTTTGCGCGGGAAAGCACAAACCCAATGCTAGCGTACGCCTGATGCTTCAGCTTCCGGCCTCTATAAAAAGGGGTCGTGGGGGCACAAAACGCCGACTGAATTCTCCCTCAAAATTCTCTCTCTCTTCTTCAGATTTCCCCCCTTTTTAAGGTCCGCCATTAGAGATCTCTAGGGTTTCTCAGTTCCCGCTTCTAGTTTCCGTCCTCAACTTCGATCATTTGTTGATCGGATGCTTAAGTTAGCAGCAGTCCTTCTCGCGTTCGCAGCTGATGAGTGATCGGTCCATTCCTAGGGTTTCAATGATGGAAACGGTAAGGGATCCTGTGATTTTTCCTTCAATCTTTAGATTTCGTCGTGATTTTGCCTTAATTAGCTCGATTACTCAATGTTGATTGTAAATCGTTTGCTTTTATCAATTTATTGGTTAACTTCTCAATTCTCGATGTTTTTATGAACTTTTAAGTTCTTTATGGGACGATTTTTGTGAAATCTTGCTGAGTTTTTTGAACTTATGCGGTAGATTGTTAATGTGGGATCTTTTGGCTGCGGATTCTTTAGATCTCTTGGCTGCGGATTCTTTAGATCTCTAGTTTAATCTTGCGTAATTTCGTCGGATTTTGTCAAGTAAATCTCTATCTATCTGATTTCTTTGTCCGATCTTGTAGCTCAGAACCGCATCTCGACGACTTTTTGTGTTAAATGAGGCAATTATTCGAGAATTTATTTTATTATTTGAGTTTCTCTGCAAAATTGAGAGTTTTCTGCAGACCGTTTCGATCTTCTGTTTAATTCATTCCTTCTTTTTATCTGCCTTTTGTTTTTCACTGTTGTCTTTTTGTCTAATCTTGTAGCTTATTAACTACATCGACGACAATGATACTAGTGATAAGAAAGAGGCCGAGATCACTGACAAAGAAAGCGGCCTTCTTCATGCAATTTGGCAAGACGACAGTTCTCGCCTCATATCACTGACAAAGCGGAAGACCAAGAGAGCAGAGGGCGGATTAGATCGCAGTGATGACACCTTGAACGATCATGAAACAATAGATCCTGGCACGGCCTCGAGACTTCTGCAACTCGCTTGCAGGCTAGACTCGGTGGAGTGCGCTAAAGTCCTCGTCGAAGGGGATACCGGAGCAGTGGTTCAAATCAATGAAATGGACGGATCAGGCCGGACACCGCTCCAAACTGCTGCAGCAATGCATTCTACGAAATGCATCGACCTCCTCCTCAAAAAGAACGCTCGCACTGATCTCCAATCCAAGGATGGGGATTCACTTCTTGCACTTGAGATCGCCTTATCCAGTAAAAGGTAAATCACTATCTCATCTTCGTTCTCCTCTTCTTTCTACTACATCAGATTGATTCCAGGTTTTTTTTTCTGATTCTATTTCTTTCCATCTCCGTTGTGCATACCTTTAGGATGCAAGTCGATTGGCATCCTAAAGACTCAGTCGAAGAGCTGCTGATTCTTCTGAGAGAAAGGGTTTGTCTTGCCTAGATAGAACCCTACAAAGTAACTTTAGGTGATTTTACTGCTCTAATCCATTTCTGTTGCAGGATTTAAGTGCCATGCGGTTGCTGGCCGTGGCAACTAAGGATGTGTCAGCGGTTGCGTACAGGAGAGCCATGAAGGGGAATATCGTTGAGCTGGCAGCATTGCTTCTGGTAGTTGCTGATAAGATCACAGCATCGGTGCATATTGAACATTGCAGTTTGAATGGTAAAAAGAGCAGGACGATCTACGAGTCAATTTTGAGCGAGGCAATGTCTCTGTTTGAAATGGAGAAGAGGGTTCAGAGCAACCAGGCTAAATATGATCAGGACCTGGTTCCCACCTACCAAAAGAAGAGACGGCTTCTCCTTGGTGAGATTGAGTTGATCCAGACCTTCCGTGGAGCTGTGGATAATTGCAAGAAGAGGAAAGACTTATCACCTCTTATTCAGGCTTTGCGAGTAAGTTCTTCTTCTTCACCGGAAAGTTTCCGTGTTATCCTGATTTAAATCATCTATTTATAGTTACCTACATGCTTTATACCCGAAATCATATAGCTTCTGACCGTAGATGCTCTTTCTCCATTCTTGGTGTGACGCTAATTACTCTACTATAGAATTGTATGCAGCGTATACTAGTATTTTTCTTATCTCTAAGATATATATGCTCATTCTTCTGTCGGTCCTGTTTGATGTGCAAACCCATGCTAACTCTTTTATATCTAGCTTTTGCTCGTGGAGCTTGACATGTCAAATACTTGCTGATACACAGTCTCAAGTCATACATTTATTCATTTCTTGTACTGCGTCATAGGCACCAACTAGGCCTAAGCAGCTTTTTCCACTTAACGACAATTGTAATCTTGAGGGCAATGTGACAAAAAAAGCCCTTTTTTGGATGGACATGGTGATGTAGAACACACAGCAGACACGTTTATGTCAAAGTGGGACAGTCGCAAGCCCAAATGCGGGCCTGGTCGAAGAAAATAACTTGTTTCGAAGAAACGGCCGTAACTTTTAAACCGTACGTCGGAATTGAACGAATTATATATGAAAATCGACTATCTCGACGAGACGGAGCCATCCAAACCCACCCCTTCGGGTTCGGTTTGCGTTTTCCGTTTCGCCAAATTCCTTACGGTTTGAGAGATATTTGTATTTTTTGTCCGTTTTTTACTATTTTTAGTAATATTTTAGGAGTTTGTTTTGTTTAGGAAACAAATCCGGTTTGATCTCAGATCTGACCGGTGGACTTTCCTAATCATAAGGAGTCTTTTTAGGAGTTTTAATATTTTAGGAATTTTTTTTACTATTTTTGGTAAAGTTTTGAGTCCTTATAGGAATTAGAGTCCTTGTAGGAGTCTTGTTTCTTTTTTTATTTAAGAAGAGTCTTGTAAGCCCTAGAGGCATAACTTTTCATCAAATTTTTTTTTTTTTAATATTTTCTTCATGGATTCGAAGTTCTTCATGGATTCAAAGATCGTTCTTTGTGGATTCCGAGGTTACAACTTCCGCAATGCGTCACATGGTAGGCTGTTTAAAAATTACTGCAGATAGCTGATCCTCGTAAAATACTGACGATGAAAGTTACAATCTGATGATTTTCACGATAACAGACGAGAGTTATAATTTGACGACTCTCACATCTTTAGAAGCCGGAGTACAAGGGTTACAAGATGACGACCTTTGTATTCTGAGAAGACTTGATGCAGAGGTGACACAAAGATTACAAATTAACGATCATTGCTTCTCCGAAGCCAAACGTGACCCTCGTGTTTCAACAGCTAAATGCGGAGGTCGACCCTCTCGTTTCAACAACTAACCGCGGAGGTTGACCCTCGCGTTTCAACAGCTAAACGCGGAGGTCGATTCTCGCGTTTCATCAGCCAAACGCGAAGGTCCACCCTCGCGTTTCAACAAATAAACGCGGAGGTTGACCCTCGCGTTTCAATAACTAAACGCGGAGGTCGACCCTCGCGTTTCATCAGCCAAACGCGAAGGTTGACCCTCGCGAAGGTCGATCCTCGCGGACTTCGTGTTTGACCGTTTTAAATCATTTGAACGGTTCTAAAACCGTTCTTCACTTAATGGAACGATTAAGCCCTCATTATGGAGCAAATTAAGGATCCAGTTACACCCCTTAAACCCTATAAATAGCTGATTTTACAGCTAAAAAGGGTTGGGTTTTGAAAGGTTGACTTTTAGATCATCTGGAGTTACCTATCTTTAAGATCGACTATTAGAGAGAAAAGTCGTTAGCTTATTTCGGATAAAAGGATTAAAATTCTTTTCTAAAATCAACTCTCTTGCAGAGTTCTAAACTCGTTCAGAGTTCTAAACTTGCTTTGCAAGTTCTTCTAAGACATTAAGTCAAGAAGTAAAGACGAAGTTCTACGAAGCAAATCGTTCGGATCGTCAACGGGATACAAGAATCAAACTCCCATCGACATCACGAAGAACCCAATATTAAATAAAAAGAATGATCTTTGTTGATTCTTTTCTCTTTTGTAAATCGAAAAACCGATAAGAAAATTGTAATTTCTTTCTAAGTCGGTTAGAGAGATTACTTTGAGAGATTGTATTCATTCTTTTTCTAAGTCAGTTAGGGAGATTAATACTAATTTATCTCAGTTTTCTTATAATTTTTTTCGCAAACAAAAGATGACTCCGTTGGGGATTTCCTTTTTCACCGATGAAGAAGTGGTGGCGCAATCCAACACTAAACTCGTGGCAACTACAGTCGAAACTCTGACCGTTGAGTTTGACCAGGCTAAGTATGATGAGTTTCTCTCTTCCGGATCCCTTAGTCTGTGCAAGATCCGCAAAGTCTTTAAGGAGACTAAGGTTCCTCCTACTGTTGACTCACTAAAGGAGTGTCTTTCCTTTCGGTCGTGTATTTCATACAGTCTTCTCTCGGAAGGAGAAGACCTAGCTTCAACTGAACTCGTTAACCGAGTTAGAGACCCTACACCCGTGCCTAAACAACGAATATTGAGTCGTAAGAGATCCGCGCAAACAGATGGCGATGTGGCACAAGCCTTAACTCGGGCAAGGAAGAATGCCGCTTGTTGAAGGAGAAGAACCATTTGACATGCACAACTCTGAAATAGCCGATCAATCAGTCGAAATGACCCTTGCGAACGCGACCATCACGTTTTAATCACAGCACACGACCCTCGCGTTTTAACCGCAGAACATGACCCTAACATTACTCAGTCTGAACGTGAGTTTCAACTCCGTGTTCTGCAACTAGAACCCGGAGGTCAACTCCGCGTTAAACGCGAGCGACAGCTCCGCGCAGCTCAATTAAAACACGATTCTCGCGTTTACAAGGAGACAGAGCGCGACCCTTGCGCCTCTCTTCCTCAACGCGATCTTCGCGTTCTTACTCCTCAACGCGATCTTCACGCTCTTATTCTTCAACGCGACCCTCGCGTGTCAGCGTTAACACGACTCACGTGTTACTAATACTAAACGCGATGTGATCCGTCGTGTTCAAAAGGACCGACAGGGATTTAAGATCCATGTTTACCAGGAGCTAGTCCCGTCTAACCGTAGACAGGAGGTTTTAATTCAGATCTCACGTTCAGTGAGTAACTCTTCTCGAGTCTCTGCAACAGATTTGAGAGAGTTCATATCGAGAGAAAGACCGATACAACAAGTCGCTCGTTCATGCCAATGTAAACGACTAATTTCCGTGGTTATCTCGGGATGCCAATGCTGCTTACATATGGCTAAACCGTCGGTGTTTGACTGATTAACGAACGTCGCTTTGCCCAACAAACGACGACGTTTTCATAAGAAAACTTCAGAGGACGAATACTTTGGAGTTACATCCAATATGATCAGTATTGGGAGATCATCAAGCTCTAGTTCCGATGAGTCAGAGATGGACCCATCTCCTGGTTTAAAAAACCCCCTGAATGAGTCTAATTGAATTTATCAACACACTCGGATTCGGAAGGGGGTCATACCCCCTGTCAACTATCGAAAGTTGGCTAAAGGAATTGAGTCTATGATGAACATTCAATCATTCTTCTCTCTTTTGTAAATTGAAAAACCGATAAGAAAATTATAATTTCTTTTTATAAGTCGGTTAGAGAGAGATTACTTTGAGTGATTGTATTCATTTTTTTCCTAAGTCAGGGAGATTAATACAAATTTATATCTTAGTTTTCTTACAATTTTTCCTACAAACAGACATATCTAAAAAAGGTTTAAAACTTTATATGATACTTCGTAGTGCAGGTATATAGAAAACTTATTTCTTTACCTTAGTTATTTGTTATTACTTGGAATGGCATCCAAAGGATATTGTGCCCTTTGTAGAATAAAAACCTGGGAAATGGCACTACATAGGTATTTATAAAGCCCCCAGACAACGTTAGATCTATTATTTCTTGTATCATATACATAGACATCTAGATTCACGGTTACAGCTATGTAGCTGTGTTGTCATGTTTTTGATTGTGAACGTGGGTGCAGTGATTTCCCCCATGCTCTTGCCCATGTTGTGAACAAGCATGGGGGAAACCGGTTGGCTGCTCTTAGCCATGCTATGAGGGTACAAGCATGAGATGGCCATGCTCTCTTGTTCAGTCCTCACTCCCTTCGTTCTTGGAGAGTTTAAGAGAGAAGTGTGGGGGGGGGGGGAGGTCTTGAGTGAGTAAAGAGGAAAAAGAAGAGAGAGGAAGAGAGAACTTGTAATAGTTTGGTATTCTCCTTATAGTTAAAACCTCCTCCCGTGAACGTAGACAAGTTTGCCGAATCACGTAAATCTGTTACCTTGTCTTTTACTGAAAGTTGGTATTGCTTGTAAGTTCCATCAACAAGTCAGTCATAGAACTGATGAGAGGTTGAGCTGGAACAAGAGTTGGCCATTGCTTGTTGGTTCCTTCGACATTCAGTTCTAGAACTGTTGAGAGGAAGAGTGTATATCTCACTTTGTTAAGATATTTTACTTTCTATTCCTTTTTTTAAGAAATAAGAATATAGAGGTTGACTTGTGCTTTTGTGAAAACGAAAGCCAAGGCTATCTCTCAGGTGATATTGCTTCCGCGATGTGAGGGCATGACTCTGCGCCTAACAATTGGTATCAGAGCCCTTATTCAGATTGACGGTGGTTGAGCTACTATTCTGAGGTGATGGTTGATTATTATGTGGTGAACACAAGGTATTTGTTAAAATTCCTGAGAGAAGCGATTTTATTAATACTAGCGAAAAATAACGTCTACAAGTAAAACAGTTAAAGTTGGAAAGTACTAGATTGAAAAATTCAATGGGAAGAATGATTTTTCCTATTGGAGGATGCAGATAAAAAATTTGTTGATTTGCCCAAGAGGGCATGGCCCTACGGGACGGTGATGGAGGTGTGGTGGAGACCAAATTATGTTGGAGTATAGTAGCAGAACTACGATTAGCTTGATCCCGGTGGAGGGTATGTAGGCAACCGCGGTATAGTGGCGCAGCTGGTTTGGCCTGGTTTGGCCTGATTTTTGGTCTGAATCTCTCTGGTGAAGTTTGTGGTGTTCTCCTGGTATTCGTCCAAAATTTGAGGTTTATCAAATGATGTACGATGTGAAGAATTGTGAACATGGGTTCAGTGATTTCCCCATGCTCTTGCCCATGTTGTGAACAAGCATGGGGGAAACCGATTGGCTGCTCTTGGCCATGCTATGAGGGTACAAGCATGGGATGGCCATGCTCTCTTGTTCAGCCCTCACTCCCTTCGTTTCCTATAAATAGGAGTGGAGTTTAAGAGAGAACTTGTAATAGTTTGGTATTCTCCTTATAGTGAAAACCCCCTCTCGTGGACGTAGGCAAGTTTGCCGAACCACGTAAATCTGTTGTCTTGTCTTTTACTGAGAGTTGGTATTGCTTGTAGGTTCCCTCGACAAGTCGGTCCTAGAACTGATGAGAGGTTGAGCTGGAACAAGAATTGGCCATTGCTTGTTGGTTCCCTCGATATTCAGTCCTAGAACTGCTGAGAGGAGAGTGTATATCTCACTTTGTTGAGATATTTCACTTTCTATTCCTGTTTCCTTTGAGAAACAAGAATATAGAGATTGACGTGTGCTTTTGTGAAAACGAAAGTCAGGGCTATCTCTCAGGTGATATCGCTTCCGCGGCGTGAGGGCGTGACTCTGCGCCTAACATTGATAATTTTTATTTTGTGATTATGTTTAAATCTTTAAGTTCAGGTTCACATCTAATAAGCCTGAAGTACCATTAAGTTTTCGTGTAAATTATGTTACCCTAAACTCGGCCTTTGATTTTGTTATAAAGTATATTTCTGTTCTCATTGGGCAACTTCTGTCCTAACTGAATACCAGTTGTAAATAGTATTTGCATTAAGCTGGGAGTTTAGGATATGTAGAAATGCAAGTGTTACGTGGACATAAAAAAATCTTCGGGTGTGTTTTGGCATTGCATCCAGACATTATTAGACGAACTGCTGCATTATTTAAGATGCAGGCTTACAATAGAAAATTTGAGTGATCATTACTGACCTGGCTGAAGATAAAACATCTATCTTGTTCATAAATCTATCATCACCTAGAATGAAAGTAATAATGTATTATTATTATTATTATTATTTTGGTATTTTCTTATCACAGATTGGAGATGAACCTGTGGCAAAGTTGCTTCTTCAGGCAGGAGCTGACACCAGAGAAACTGATGGAGATGGGAATACAGTGCTTCACTTGTGCCTTAAAGCAAGTCATTTTTCTCAGAATCTAAGGTAAACGAGAAGCTGCTATTATAGAACTTTCTTTTTTGATAAATAAAATTTTGCTAAGATAGGAAATACACGCACGCACGCGCGCGCGCGCACACACACACACATTTGTAGCGAAGGAAAACAAGAAAAATTGCACAAAAAGAAGATTAAACATATAAGATAGAGATCCCGTCTTCATGTAAAAAAGCTAAAGCTGCTAGAACATAACTTATGTGTGCTCTTGTTTGCAACAATATCTGACTGGTCAAGTGTTTATTTTGTAGGCTTTTGTGGCTCTTGCTCCAACATGGTGCCAAAGTATCTCAGAGGAATCTGTTAGGATTAACACCAGTTCATGTCGCGGCAGAGAAGGGTAATTACCAGGCTCTTCAGGTGCATAATCCCAAGCCTCCAACTGTCTTATATTTCCTTCTCTCTCCTTGGTCACTTTACATGAAATGTGTCTACATGTGGTTTCAGATATTGTTGCTTCACGCTCCAGAATGTGTTGATATTGCATCCGTAACACAAGAAACTCCCCTGTTTTTTGCTGTGAGAAATGGACATCTGGATTGCACAAAGCTGCTATTGCAGTCTGGAGCTGATTGCCAAGTTATTAATCTCCGGTACCTTTTTTGGTCGTTATTGTTTTTCTTTATCCTTGCACATTATCTTTCCATCATCCATTATGTTTTCTTTCTCAGGAGACAAAGGCCGATAGATTTGACAAGTTCACAAGACATCCGCTTCATTCTCAATCCTGCAAATCAAGAATTTTGTATGGAATTCCCTATGTGCATGTACATAACTTTAACTTGCTATTGTGCATTTTTTTGACTCTTTATTGTATCTGCAGTATTTCATAACAGGACTCCTCAAGAAGATTATAGTCATGGCACAGTTTGTTCTGCTGACAACGAGTTAGCGGAGTTACATGAACCCATGTTTGCAAGGAATCCCCAAAACAAAGAGTGGTAAGTCCAACTCACAGTAATTTTTATTTTAGACGGATTGTTCCCTGTTCGCAACAATCTGAGAATTTTTTTTCTGCAACCTCAACTGATGCAGTCCTAACAAGAAGACGGAGGTTTGTCGTTATTATGACTCTCTCAGCGGTTGTGTGAAAGGTGCCAATTGCAACTTCACCCATGGAGAGAGTGAGCTGAGACAGGGCCCACTTGAACTGATGGCTGTGTCTCCTTACAGAACCATAACCAAGGTAAGCAATTCCTTTCCACACCGCCAGTCTTAACTTTTTTTTTTGAAGTTTCCTTCGTTGTGCCTAAAATTTTCTTTCATTCGGTACAGAAAACAGTCATGGATCGAAAGGTTTTTGTTGGGGGTCTCCCACTCTCTGTTGACTCAGGTCTTTTCGTATTAAAATTACAATGCTTGTTTGTCTCTGCTCTATTTCACCCTATATAGAGGGTTTCTTACCTCATTCTCACTTGAAATTTTCTTTTGATTTTCTCATTTAGACTATCTTAAGGAGTTCTTCCAGGCCGAGTTTGGACCAGTGGAAAAAGCCATAGTGATCACCACTAAAGCAGGCAGCCAATCACAGTCCAAAGGGTTTGGCTTTGTCACTTTCAAGAGGGAGGAGACTGTCGAAAATGCTGTAAAAGCCCGATTTGTGACGATCTTTGGCAAGAAGGCTGAAATCAAATGTGCAGTAATGAATTTTTTTTCGGAGTCTTACCAAAAGGATCCAGATGGACAACCTCTTGGATCACTGTCAGAGCACTTTCCTCTATGGCTAGTGAAATTTAGAAAGTGGCTACCAATATTCCTGAAGAGGGCATTTAAGCGCGTCGAAAATGCGGAGGGATATCCTCTTTCCTCTCTTAAAGCAGACTTCAGGGCAACATGTGGCATGGAGTTGGACCACACGTCTCTTGGCTTCCTCAAACTTAGTGATTTCATGCGTGCATTCCCTGACCTTTGCAAGATGCGGCTGCATCCTGCTGGAAATGGCATTGGTAGCCACATAGTCCTTTATCCTCAGACCTCTGGAAGACACCATGAACTGATTCGGAGCCTGGGAGATCATCCATCCTTGAAAGCTATTGAGATCTCTAAGTCACTGTCAGCTAATGAAGTCAGTGAGGAAGGACCTTCCAGTAATGAGAGCAAAGCCAAGGAGAAGGTTAATATTGGTTATCTACCCCGTGAAGAGGGAATTCAGCGCTCTAATCCTTGGGGAGAGGTTGTTGAATCTCTACAATCGAGGCTTACAAATACTAGCTTGACTGAGGTGGGGCATCAGATATCGTGTAAGAAGCAAGGAGGTATAGAAGGATTGAGTCAATCGCCTGCAGAGGGCAGCAGAGGAGCCCTAGAAGAAAACCAACCACCTTCTTTCTCTTTGTTCAGAAGACAGTGGGACCACTATGCGGTGAGATCCATTTCTTATGTTATCGTTAGTTTAGTTAATCTGCTTATTCATAGGCTACGATCGTTGTGCAGCTTGTACATGGTCGCTGTACTGTTTGCTTTGTCCAACCTGGTTCATTGGCAATAATTCCCTGTCATCACAAACTCTGCCTCAGTTGCTTTAAGAACAGTATCCAAAGGACATGCATTATTTGCAATGCCAAGGTGCAGGGGTTCATGTTCCTGGAGGATAAGCTTCCAGATACTCGCTGTCTTCCGCCAACTTCTACAGAGTTTTTACAGTAGATGTGTTTGTATCACTTTACTTTTTGCCCAGTCTTTAGAACGGATGTTTTAGGTTGTGGTAGGTCATGGAGGAGAAGTTCTAACTCCTCCAATTTTGTTATGCCTGCCCAACATCCCAGATAAATTTTGTCCTTTGATGTCTGGGAATTTCTAGTAGGTTTATATGGCTATACCTAGGATAATGTAAGTTCTACAGGATTATGAATAAACTGAAGTATGCAGACGATTCTTCCTTGTACAAAGAACATTCTAGTGTGTGTTCCTCAGAATGAGATTGTAATATAGTCCTATATTTTAAGCAAATTTCCTTTGGTTTATTTGTAGGCTTTCAAAGTTAATATCCACATATATGCTTTCTGAAATGTTAGGCATGTGAAGTACATTTACCAATCTGCATGGAATCTTAATCATCCTAGTCACAACTGCTTCTGTAGAACCGTGGGAGTTATATCATATGCATTAGTCATAAGAATTTGAGAAATATGTATTCAGAATAGTAGTATAAAATTTGTACTCAAAATGCTTTATGTAAGTTGATGATTCCTGGATTCTGGAATAAACTGATATTATGTTACTGTACACTTTGTGCTTAATTGCTGGAGAATAGGCAAGATGGTGCATATTTTTACTTGAGATACTTACCTATGCTTCTTCATCAAGTCTTTATGCCAGCCGCTTCAAGTCTGCCCAATTCTTGCCTTTAGTGGTGATTGGTAAGGGACCATCTCTCCTATCATCCAAATTTAAAATACGGCAATCAGGTATGCTGAAAACTTCCATAATGTCCTATGTATTGGCTCCCGTATTCCACATATTTCTCCTTAGACTGCTATATATTTAAACCATTGCAGCTCTTTCAATGAATTGCAAATCACTGTATCACTGTACTGATGTGGAGTTTGCTCCAATTAAGGCAGCTATGAAAGTGAAAGAGGTTGAGAAGGGTAAATTTTCTTCCCTTTTTTTGTCAAGTAATAGTTGTTAGATGTTTCTTTTTATTGTTTTCTCATAACTGTAGATAGTCAATTTTCTGCATAAACCATGAAAATGATGTATTTGAACAATGGATGTAACCATAAACATTTTTGTACTATCCATCAGTATAGCAGATGCATTCTCGTTACATCCGTTTCTTTGATTATAGTTACTTGTTTCTGTTTTCGCCAAAAGTCGAATTTGTTGTCGAATTCATTATATCTTCGGTCGATTACAATAAATTCAAAGAAAACAGCCTTTTTATAAGACTCTTTTACACAACAAAAAGAAAATTACAACTCTTGAGAAAATAAACGCAGGATCGTTGTTTGGATCACTGCTTTCGTGGGATCTTTGCCTGTGCCGGGAGCGCTTTGACTCGTGGACCACCAAGTCACAGATTCTGATTGAACCGTGAGGGGTTTATGATTCTGACTTCGTTTATCGAAGTGAGAAATTGAAACGATATCTTATCGATGTAAGATAGTCGTTCTTCTTGAAATCAAGTCAAAGCTCAATTTCAAGGATTGGCCGTAAGATCAGCACCTCTGCTCTCTCTCTGCTCTGGATTGCTCTGGATTGCTCTGAAGTACTCACAATGATCAGCCCCCTTTTGTCACCGCTGTCCAAATCCTTAAATACCATCTTTTTATGAGGTTAGTGGGCCTTTTCTTCAGTTTGTAACTGTCTCCCACGATCTTTAACAGTTAATGGCCACTTGTTTAGGCGGTTTCTGAACTCCTGTCTCGCGAAACAATAAAACACTGTCTCGCCAAACAGTAAAAGACTGTCTCGCGAAACAGTAAAAGACTGTCTCGCGAAACAGTAAAAGACTGTCTCTCCAAACAGTAAAAGACTGTCTCTCCAAACAGTAAAAGACTGTCTCTCCAAACAGTAAAAGACTGTCTCTCCAAACAGTAAAAGACTGTCTCTCCAAACAGTAAAAGACTGTCTCTCCAAACAGTAAAAGACTGTCTCTCCAAACAGTAAAAGACTGTCTCTCCAAACAGTAAAAGACTGTCTCTCCAAACAGTAAAAGACTGTCTCTCCAAACAGTAAAAGACTGTCTCTCCAAACAGTAAAAGACTGTCTCTCCAAACAGTAAAAGACTGTCTCTCCAAACAGTAAAAGACTGTCTCTCCAAACAGTAAAAGACTGTCTCTCCAAACAGTAAAAGACTGTCTCTCCAAACAGTAAAAGACTGTCTCTCCAAACAGTAAAAGACTGTCTCTCCAAACAGTAAAAGACTGTCTCTCCAAACAGTAAAAGACTGTCTCTCCAAACAGTAAAAGACTGTCTCTCCAAACAGTAAAAGACTGTCTCTCCAAACAGTAAAAGACTGTCTCTCCAAACAGTAAAAGACTGTCTCTCCAAACAGTAAAAGACTGTCTCTCCAAACAGTAAAAGACTGTCTCTCCAAACAGTAAAAGACTGTCTCTCCAAACAGTAAAAGACTGTCTCTCCAAACAGTAAAAGACTGTCTCTCCAAACAGTAAAAGACTGTCTCTCCAAACAGTAAAAGACTGTCTCTCCAAACAGTAAAAGACTGTCTCTCCAAACAGTAAAAGACTGTCTCTCCAAACAGTAAAAGACTGTCTCTCCAAACAGTAAAAGACTGTCTCTCCAAACAGTAAAAGACTGTCTCTCCAAACAGTAAAAGACTGTCTCTCCAAACAGTAAAAGACTGTCTCTCCAAACAGTAAAAGACTGTCTCTCCAAACAGTAAAAGACTGTCTCTCCAAACAGTAAAAGACTGTCTCTCCAAACAGTAAAAGACTGTCTCTCCAAACAGTAAAAGACTGTCTCTCCAAACAGTAAAAGACTGTCTCTCCAAACAGTAAAAGACTGTCTCTCCAAACAGTAAAAGACTGTCTCTCCAAACAGTAAAAGACTGTCTCTCCAAACAGTAAAAGACTGTCTCTCCAAACAGTAAAAGACTGTCTCTCCAAACAGTAAAAGACTGTCTCTCCAAACAGTAAAAGACTGTCTCTCCAAACAGTAAAAGACTGTCTCTCCAAACAGTAAAAGACTGTCTCTCCAAACAGTAAAAGACTGTCTCTCCAAACAGTAAAAGACTGTCTCTCCAAACAGTAAAAGACTGTCTCTCCAAACAGTAAAAGACTGTCTCTCCAAACAGTAAAAGACTGTCTCTCCAAACAGTAAAAGACTGTCTCTCCAAACAGTAAAAGACTGTCTCTCCAAACAGTAAAAGACTGTCTCTCCAAACAGTAAAAGACTGTCTCTCCAAACAGTAAAAGACTGTCTCTCCAAACAGTAAAAGACTGTCTCTCCAAACAGTAAAAGACTGTCTCTCCAAACAGTAAAAGACTGTCTCTCCAAACAGTAAAAGACTGTCTCTCCAAACAGTAAAAGACTGTCTCTCCAAACAGTAAAAGACTGTCTCTCCAAACAGTAAAAGACTGTCTCTCCAAACAGTAAAAGACTGTCTCTCCAAACAGTAAAAGACTGTCTCTCCAAACAGTAAAAGACTGTCTCTCCAAACAGTAAAAGACTGTCTCTCCAAACAGTAAAAGACTGTCTCTCCAAACAGTAAAAGACTGTCTCTCCAAACAGTAAAAGACTGTCTCTCCAAACAGTAAAAGACTGTCTCTCCAAACAGTAAAAGACTGTCTCTCCAAACAGTAAAAGACTGTCTCTCCAAACAGTAAAAGACTGTCTCTCCAAACAGTAAAAGACTGTCTCTCCAAACAGTAAAAGACTGTCTCTCCAAACAGTAAAAGACTGTCTCTCCAAACAGTAAAAGACTGTCTCTCCAAACAGTAAAAGACTGTCTCTCCAAACAGTAAAAGACTGTCTCTCCAAACAGTAAAAGACTGTCTCTCCAAACAGTAAAAGACTGTCTCTCCAAACAGTAAAAGACTGTCTCTCCAAACAGTAAAAGACTGTCTCTCCAAACAGTAAAAGACTGTCTCTCCAAACAGTAAAAGACTGTCTCTCCAAACAGTAAAAGACTGTCTCTCCAAACAGTAAAAGACTGTCTCTCCAAACAGTAAAAGACTGTCTCTCCAAACAGTAAAAGACTGTCTCTCCAAACAGTAAAAGACTGTCTCTCCAAACAGTAAAAGACTGTCTCTCCAAACAGTAAAAGACTGTCTCTCCAAACAGTAAAAGACTGTCTCTCCAAACAGTAAAAGACTGTCTCTCCAAACAGTAAAAGACTGTCTCTCCAAACAGTAAAAGACTGTCTCTCCAAACAGTAAAAGACTGTCTCTCCAAACAGTAAAAGACTGTCTCTCCAAACAGTAAAAGACTGTCTCTCCAAACAGTAAAAGACTGTCTCTCCAAACAGTAAAAGACTGTCTCTCCAAACAGTAAAAGACTGTCTCTCCAAACAGTAAAAGACTGTCTCTCCAAACAGTAAAAGACTGTCTCTCCAAACAGTAAAAGACTGTCTCTCCAAACAGTAAAAGACTGTCTCTCCAAACAGTAAAAGACTGTCTCTCCAAACAGTAAAAGACTGTCTCTCCAAACAGTAAAAGACTGTCTCTCCAAACAGTAAAAGACTGTCTCTCCAAACAGTAAAAGACTGTCTCTCCAAACAGTAAAAGACTGTCTCTCCAAACAGTAAAAGACTGTCTCTCCAAACAGTAAAAGACTGTCTCTCCAAACAGTAAAAGACTGTCTCTCCAAACAGTAAAAGACTGTCTCTCCAAACAGTAAAAGACTGTCTCTCCAAACAGTAAAAGACTGTCTCTCCAAACAGTAAAAGACTGTCTCTCCAAACAGTAAAAGACTGTCTCTCCAAACAGTAAAAGACTGTCTCTCCAAACAGTAAAAGACTGTCTCTCCAAACAGTAAAAGACTGTCTCTCCAAACAGTAAAAGACTGTCTCTCCAAACAGTAAAAGACTGTCTCTCCAAACAGTAAAAGACTGTCTCTCCAAACAGTAAAACACTGTCTCTCGAAATAGTAAAAGACTGTCTGGCGATACAGTAAAACACTGTCTGGCGCCCGAGACAGCAAACACTTGTTTCTTATGTTCTTTTGATCTTTGGATGATCTCCTTTTAAGCTGTATTTGGATATCCATCAGCATTTTTTGACGCCTACAGTTTCAACTTTAATCCTTCATTAAATGATCCTTCAGTATAGCTAACCTGCCAGTGGAGAGAAACACATTGATCTTTCTGCTATGATCCATTCACACGTCTTATATATTCTCTTTTGTTTCTCCTTTTCCTGGCATTCTTCATCGTACTGATAAAACTTATGACATCAGCAAACTGTACATATTTGCACTTTGCAGTGTACATCCTTGGGACTTGCAATTCATGAGGATGTATATTTTTAAATACTATCAATACTGGATAATATTTTTAAATACTATCAATACTGGATAATATGTGTAGCTTGGTGTCACCATGATAAACAGTGTATACTTTCTTATTATAGCCTCCATCGTATGTTTGATAGTTGGTCTATATTGTTAGGTTGGATCTTATTATCACATCGCTGAGGCGATAAAAAGAAGTTTATTATGTAATGTTGTGTTCTGGAGATCTAAATGTTTGACTTTCTGGCTCTTGGTTCTTGAGCAAGCTCTTGCATTGCTGGGTGGAAACTCATTGATGGAAAAAAGAAAAGGACAAAAAGAGAGACCTTAGGAAAGTGGATCAGGTAGCTCATCATGTTAGAACAAAGGATTGAAAATATGCATAAAAACATGATTTTGGTCTGAAGGAAAGCAAGCTGGATGAAAAAAGAACTCCAAAAGAGGTTCAGATGCAGATTTTGAAAACATGCTTCTTGTGGTTCTATGCCCAAAGCAGGGTGGGCTCGTTGAGTTTGAGCCATATGTTTTGCGTATATAGGGACATATGTTAAAATGCTTTCTGTTCAGTCAGCTAAAACAAATGAATATCGACTATTGGTTATGAACTGAACTTTGTACACCTTTCTAGCATAGACACGTTATTCCAGTCACTAATTCATCATTTATTGACTGTGAAAAGCTGTAGTCTTGCTTTATTTAATCTATGCACAGTTAATAAGTTGCCTGTGCTTCTGATGAAAAGCATATACCTCACCTACTTGTATCAAATATTCACCTTTCATGCTTGCAGGCGATTTTGACTTTACATTATCTTTGTGATTCTTACCTGCATATTCATGGAATGTCAGGTTTCATCAATAATTAGAGACTGCTAAAAAGAAGACAGCTGCTAGAATGGGAAGCTGGCATCCTTGTATAATGAAGTTATCATCTAAAGCCCAGTTTCTTACTACAGATTCCGCACATGGCTATATATATTTTTATTTTTATCTGGAATCTACAATGCACATTTTTGCTGGTATTGTGGAGCCAGATAACATCATTTTTATGTAACATCAATTGTAACTATATAATGTTGTCCTCAGAAAGCTATGACATATTTTGTTGCATCGATTTTTATCATACCTTTTTCCTCAACTTGTAGCTATTATTTAAGTTGAAATAGCCTGCAGATGGGTAAATGAATTTAGTACATCATTCACTAGCGGGTCTCATCATATCGTATATTATAAAACTCAAGATTCATTTTACTTCTATCATTCATGCCTGTTCTCTCTCGTATAATATGAACTTTATATGCTGACAGTTACTTTAAATTTATTGCAGATAGTCGTATAATGCGTATGGTCTTGTGGCTGAGGTGTTGAAGAAGCTATTACTTTAAATTTATTGCAGATAGTCGTATAATGCGTATGGTCTTGTGGCTGAGGTGTTGAAGAAGCTAGTGGCTATTTCTCCAGCTCAACGCACAACCTAACGATGTCTGCAATGAGTGAATTGCATTTATATGAAGATGCTGAGAAGGCTCTTCTCACTACATCTTCTACCAATGAAACATCAATTTTGCGAGTTCCGCAGGAATTGAGTTCTCTTGTTGCTGTATTATATTCGAAGAAGGATCCTTGATTAGGACTATGCTAGAAATAAATGCTGCATTAGAATCCTTGTGGGTGGAATTGAGCAATTTCATCAGCAAAATTGAAAGCTCTTCGGAGCCAAGATCAGCTTTGGCCACGATGGTTGGAACTTCTACATTCACAAGTGCAAATGCTTAGCAGGAAACCAGAACATTGAGTCTGTCTTTGTAACTTGTGAGAAGCTAAGGCCTGAACAGTAGGAGGTGGCCTAAGAGCTTGATACTGCACCAACTTCAGATACTGGATACTCTACATTTGTCTGGTAATCAAAGATCGCCGGTGGTTTCTTCAAAAGTTGATAAGAAAAATGTTGCATTTCTGAAGTTCTCAGAAAAGCACAGAAAGCTATTAAATGCATTCATTCGGTGTAACTCAAGGTTACTTGAGAAATCATTCTTCTCGCCGCAGTGGGAAAGTAAAGCATCAGCAGGATCATCATCACTGTCTGGTGAGAATTTCGGTGAGAAGAGCCTAAATTCTGGAAGACTCGCTCAACCGACTTCCGATGAGTCGCCTCAAAATCTGAAGGGCCTACAGGGCAATGGTATCAGTCGTTGTCCGGTGTTATTTCGACAAGGGTGCCTTGCTTTTCACCACAATGGGAAATGATTCAACTTTTCAGCCAAATACTAACTCGGTTTACCAGACAGAACAATTGTCTAACTTCAAGTTTGTTGGATGAGTGGTAAGAATAGTTACTGCTGTTTTGGAAACTAGCCTGCTGCTCTGATATTGGTTTGACATTATAATTATTTCTCCAGGTTGGCAAGGCTCTCCTTGATGGCCAACTTCTTGATGATCAATCTTTCACGAAAAGTTCTATGAGTGAAGGTAAGATTTTGCTATTGACCCTGATTACTATAAGAACTTAAAGTGGATGCTCAAGGTATCTTGTCTTTTATTCGTAATATTTTGTATCCCTCTTTGTTTGGGATTTGAATTGTATATGACCATTGTTCCTTTTGTTTTGACAAAATGCAGAATGAAATGAGTATTAATTTGGACCTGCTTTCAGCATGGATGCTGATGAGGAGAAGCCGATATTATATGAAAGAGCAGAGGTAAGATTTTACTGGTTTATCGTATAACTATATTGTTTTGGAGAAACAGGGAGCGATGACATCAATTTTTGTGCTGAGTTCCACTTTACTTAAAATACAGAGTTCAAATTATAGATTCAAAATTATGAAATAAGTTATAACAGGATAAAAAGTTAAGCCTTAGTTTACTGCATGTGTGAAAGAGTTGAATATTCTGTATGACAATTTGATCTATGCTGAAGTTTTATTTTCTTTTTCCCGGAGAAGTATAAAATTATGAATCAGAGTGACAGAAACATTTTCTCTTTCAAAAATGTTATTAGAACATGAAACCTTATTAGAATCTTCATATCCTTGCTTTTCAAGTCATCCATACCTTTAATCAGCAAACACTGTGATAGGAATAGTATTAGCTTTCTGTAGAAGGGAAAGGAAAGAAACTGTCTAGCATTTGGAATCATTGAAAAGTTCTCCAGAATAGGCAATGTCGGCTTGCATTGGAGTCAGAAGAATCATTTCTTTTATCAAATTGAATGACGACATACTTGACTTCCCTTCAAGTCGTTGCACATGGGGTAGAACCCTTAATCATGGTTAACTACCATTTCTAATTATTATAGGCATTAACATTGAACAATTACCACACATGAGATTTTGTTTTATGAAATTTTCCTGATGGTTATGATGGTCCAAAAATCAGGTAGAGCAGGTTATGCATTGAAAAATACACTTCAAAACAAAAACAAAAAAATCCAGAAATCCTTGGAATTGTTTCCATAGCCTATAAGAAATTCAGAAGTTGTTTGTTTATAGGTATTTGTCTTCTCATTAATGATGTTAAAAAAAACCTAAAATGCTTTAAAGTGTACTCTTATGTAGAACACCTGAACTCACACATAATTAACCAAATTATGTCTCCTAAAGAATCTCCGAGTGCATGAATGCCTTGCATTGAAGCAATATAACTCCACTTCCTCTTTCTCCTATACCCTTAGACTCTTCTACATTGTCTTTAGGTACAGGTCTCTTTGATTCCTTAACCTTCCTCTCTTTGCTTCAAGAGCTTCTTTTGCTCACCGTTTCAGGCAATTTCTGCAAAAGAAGATAGTATAGAGATGGGAAAGGAAACTCCTCTGGCTACCACGATTGAGGTCAAGGTTCATCCGACACGAGGGAACGATAAGTTGGTTTATCCGTTTAATCGTGATCCCTTTCCTGCTGCTTCTTCAATTCAGGAAGAGATCCAATCTCTGGAGCAATGGACCCTGTTAAAGTAAGAGAGAGAGAGAGAATCTTGGGTAAATTTCCCTTGAATTGAATATTGAGTGTGCACATATATTTATACAAGTAGAGGAGTGTGAGGTTTGTTCTCCCAAGCAATGTGGGACTAAAACCCACTACAATACACTATTATCAACAGCCCCCTTCAAACTCATGTTGGATCAAACAAAGTGAGTTTGCGTACAAGAAACTGGAACCGATGAACAGGTAAGGCCTTTGTGAAGAAATCTGCAAGCTCGTCAGCGGATGAAACATGAGGAAGTAGAATTGTCTTGTCCTTGATAACTTGGTGACGGACAAAATGAGCGTCGATCTCAATATGTTTGGTCCTTTCATGAAATACTGGATTATTAGCAATCTGGATGGCACTCTTATTATCACAGTAGAGAGGAGTAGGAGTCGTAACAGAAATACCGAAATCACTGAGAAGGCGACGAAGATGAATAATCTCTTTAGCTGTTGTGGACATTGCACGATACTCTGCCTCAGTACTGGAAAGAGCAATAACATCTTGTTTCTTACTTCGCCAGGAAATAAGGGAATCACCAAGAAATATACAATAACCTGTGGTAGACTTTCTGGTAGTTGGATCACCAGCCCAATCAGCATCAGAATATGCACAAAGCTCTAACTTAGATGTAGCAGGAAACAAAAGTGAGCGAGTGCTAGTACCCCGGAGGTACCGAAGAATCCGTAATAAGACAGCATAGTGTACAGAACGTGGGGCACTAACAAATTGACTGACAATACCAACAGCATGAGAGATATCTGGTCGAGAGATGCACAAATAGACCAACTGACCAACAAGATGTCGATATCGGGTAGGATCAGATAGAGGCTCACCGTCAGTAGAGCAAAGTTTGACATTCTGCTGGAGTGGAGTATCGACAGTTGTATTATCAGTTAACTCAGCTTGATTTAGAATATCTGAGAGATACTTCTGTTGAGACAGTAATACACCCCGCGGGCCTTGAGAAATTTCTAGACCAAGGAAATACCGAAGAGATCCAAGATCCTTCATGTGGAACTGTTGTTGCAACTGAGATTTTGCGTATTGTATACCTGTCATATCATCACCTGTAATGATCATATCATCTACATAGATGAGTAATAAAACCCTGCCACGCGATGTAGTGCGAACAAACAGAGAAGCATCTTGATGACTTTCTATAAAGCCCGCTTTGAGCACAACATCGCGAAAACACTCAAACCAAGCGCGGGGTGCCTGTTTGAGACCATAAACAGCACGACGAAGGAGACATACATGTCCCGGAGGAATATTTGACCCTGGAGGCGGTTGCATATATACGGTCTCTGATAAAGAGCCATGAAGAAAAGCATTTTTGACATCCATCTGGTATAAGGGCCAACGATGAGCAGCAGCGACCGCAAGGAGAGTACGCACAGTGGGCATCTGAGCAACAGGAGCAAAGGTCTCCTCATAATCAATACCTTGTTGCTGAGTAAAACCTCTAGCCACTAAACGAGCTTTTCGACGTTCAATGGTGCCATCAGGACGAAACTTGACCTTATAAACCCATTTACTGCCAACAAGAGAGATCCCAGGAGGACAGGGAACAATATCCCAGGTATGAGTTTGCTGAAATGCTTGAAATTCCTCAGCCATAGCTTGTCGCCACTCTGGAATTTGAACTGCCTCTTGGAAGGACTTTGGCTCAACAATAGTATGAATGGCAGCAAGAAAGTTATGAAAGATAGGTGAATAAGAAGTAACAGAAGCATACCGGGCAGGCATGACATGTGGGCGTTTGCCTCGACGAAGAGCAAGAGGAACCTCAGGCGGGGGAGATGCTGGCGCAGGTGCATGAAGATCAACAGTATTTTCTGGAGTGAGAGTTGTGTCCACAGGATATGGATTAGATGGTGTAAGAGAAGACTCAGGTGAGGAAGAGTCAACAGAAGGAGAGGGAGAGATGTCAGGGAGATCTCGAAAGGAAAATTGAGGTGAAGAAGTGGGTGATGCAGTGGACGGGGAAGCATGATCGGTAGAGTGGAGGAAATTAAAGTCATCAGAAGTAGAATAATATGGAGAATCCTCTTCGAACTGAACATGACGAGATATATGAACTCGACGAGTTGCGGGATCATAACAACGATAACCTCGATGTTCTGAACTAATTCCTAAATAAACACAAGAAACTGCTCTGGGAGACAATTTATCACGTTCGTGAGATGGCAGAAAAACAAAACATCGACAACCAAAAACGCGAACTAGATCATAACGGGGAGGATGAGTATAAACACGACTATAAGGAGTAGCACCGGAAAGAGAGCTAGATGGAGTGATATTAATGGCATGAGTCGCGGTGAGAATAGCCTCAGCCCAGAAACGACGAGGAACAGAGTAAGAAATGAGCATTGATCGGGCAGTATCGAGGATATGACGATGTTTGCGTTCAGCAACACCATTTTGCTCATGAGTGTAGGGACATGACTGTTGAAAGATAGTCCCATGAGAGGACATGATAGAGCGCATGGCAGAGGATAGGTACTCTTTGGCACAATCAGAACGAAAAACTTTAATACGAGATTGCCATTGAGTGAAAATCATAGCAGTGAAGGCTTGATAAGCAGTAAGTACGTCAGAGCGATTCTTAAGTAGGTAAACCCATGTAAAACGAGAGAAATCGTCGATAAAACTAACATAATATAAGTAGCCAGATGAAGAAGGCAAAGGAGCTGGCCCCCAAATATCAGAATGTACTAAATCAAATAAGGAAGTGGATACAGATGTACTCATTTTAAATGGTAAAGCAGTGAATTTAGCCAATTTGCAACCAGCACATGACTCAATACTAGAACTAGATGATACAGGACCAAGTACTCCAGACTGAATAAGACTCTCCAGCCTTTTATTACACACATGACCAAGTCGTCTATGCCATAAATTGGCAGGAAGCGAGGTAGAGGGTTTTGACGAACAAAGAGAAGCAACAAGAGAACGTGGACGTATGGACTCTGGAAGGTGAAGATATTCCAGAAAATACAGTTTGTGCCTCCTACGACCCGCCCCAACCGTCTTGCCCGTCTGTGGATCCTGCACAATACAAGTATCAGAAGAAAATGAGACAAACAGGCCCGCCATGCATAAAGAGCTAATAGAAATTAAATTCAAGCACAATTGTGGAGCCACATAGACGGGACCAAGTGTTAGACGACCAGATGGATCATTTTGTGGGGTAATAGAGCCATACTGAGTAATGGACAATGGTTGTCCAGCAGCTGTGTAGATAGGAGGAAGAGAGGATGAAGTAAAGACAGAGGATAAAAGTGAGGCATTACAAGTCATATGAAAGGAACAACCAGAGTCAAAAATCCAGAGATCATTCATACCAGAGACTGAAGGATTAGCTGAAGAACCAGCAAAATGCATACCAGAGAGTTGTGCGGCGGATGTAGAGGTGATATGTTGAAAAGCATCAAGTTGACGGCGAAGACTTTCAATAGCTTGAATAGTAGAGTCTGAAGTAGTAGAAGGTATAGCATTGGCCAACAATCCTGGTGTACGAGAGGGTTGAGACTGAGGGGGTCGCCGACCACGTCCAGTACCTGAGGAACGTAACTCAGGATGAAGCTTGAAGCATGTCTCAATGCGGTGTCCTTCCTTCTTACAATATTTGCAAGAGAGCTTAGATCGAGCCTGTGGAGAGGGAGCCTGTGGAGAAGTATAATTCATAACAGGAGCAGTGACAGGTACAGACAAAACAGTCTCGAGTGAAGAGGTAGGAGTGTCTGTTGACAAATTGAGTCGTGCTGTCTGCTGCCGGGTCTCATAAGCAGTGAGAGCTCCCATAACTGAGGCCAAAGTCGGAAATTGAGGCTGGTGAAGTAGTTGATCAGCCATAGTTGAATATTCAGGAAGGGACTGAAACAATTGATGCACCTCATGCCGTTCGTACCAGGCTAGCCAGTCTTCATATGTGGAATTACGTCCAGGAAGCATGGAGCGTAACTCTGTCCAAAAAGCTTGCATTTGTCCAAAATGGGACTGCAGAGATGAACTACCTTTGCGTTGTAGAGAAATGCGTTGCAGAAGATATGCCTCCCGTGCACCCGAGCACTCAGTGAAACGCTCAGTGAGACGAGTCCACATGGCCTGAGCAGAGGGAAGCGAGCCAATCTCGACAGTGAGACCAGAGCCAACACAGCGAGTGAGATAATCCATAACACGAAATTCCTGCAATTGCCACTCTGAACTCTCCTTGACATAGAGAGCACGAGCAGTCTGAAGATCGACATCACCACTGCCAGAGGCAATAGTACTGGATGAAGCAACAGTGCTGATGGACGGTGGAACTGGTCCCGTACTGGTGAGATGATCAAGCAAACCAGCGCCACGCAAGGCATTGGTGACAATGGTGGACCACCCTGCCCAGTCACTTTGATCATTGAGGGGCAAAGGTGGTTTGGGAATCTTCTCTGAAGGAGCCATAACAGCAATCTTGAGACGTTAAGATGTCGAGATGCTGTTACTAATGTCGTTCGTTTGAGGCCGAGAGACGGCTTGAAACGACGATGCCGTTAATTTGAGACCGAGAGACGGTCTTGAAACGACAATGCCGTTAAAATAGAACCCGAAGGTTAGAATGAAACCCGAAGGTTTAAAATAGAACCCGAAGGTTAAACGAGAACGCGAAACGCGTTAAGAGGCCGCAAAACGACAAGGCCAAAATATCTGGCAGATGAACGCCAAATAATTAAAAATAAAAATAAAAAAAATAAAACATTAAACGGCTGCAAAGCAATAAGGCCAAGATTTGGCAAAAGAACGCAAAAGCGTTAAAAATTTTATTGAAAGGGAAATAGCCCTAGCTCTGATACCATGTTAAAGTAAGAGAGAGAGAGAGAATCTTGGGTAAATTTCCCTTGAATTGAATATTGAGTGTGCACATATATTTATACAAGTAGAGGAGTGTGAGGTTTGTTCTCCCAAGCAATGTGGGACTAAAACCCACTACAATACACTATTATCAACAGACCCCATGGCTGATTCCCATTTTTGTAGTGGCAAATATTGTAATTTTCATGATCACAATGTACATTAATAACTGTCCAAGGAATTATGGTTCGTGTTTCGCTCCATTTCTAGGGAGGTTTGCCTTTCAGCCTAGGAGCCAGAATATGATGTTAGGACCTTCACCTCACACGTAAGTACTTTGTTATTTACTTTAATGCAAGTTTCTATTTTAATTTACTATTTTTACTAAAAATATCTTACTCGAGCGTTCAGTATTACACATTTATGTAATTTTTGTGGCTGTGTACCTGTATGGATGTCCTCATGAATAAAGCCTTCAGTAAAATACTTTGTTACTTGCTTCAATGTAAATATTATTTAAATTTATGATTATTGTTTTTTTTCCTATAAATCTGTTATCAAGTGTTCAATACCACATATTTATGTTTATGTGGTTGTGAACTGGTAAGTATGTTGGCTATAGGGAAAAGTCATGAATAAAACCTTAACGTTGATATGAAGCCATTACTGTAAGGATGAAGTTTGTATGAATATACAAAATTTCTTCTTGCTCATATTTTGATTTCTATTGAAACTCTGCAATCTAATAATGTCTAATTATAATTCTTTCATAATTTATGCATTTATATGTTGTGCAAAAATTTGACATGGGATTAATTTGGTCAATATTTCCCTGAGCAAAGGCCAATTTTGACTATTTATGGGTGCTCTATACTTAAAATGGACCTTACAGTGTTCGTGTATTAATTTTGGATGCTCAGAGTACTAAATAAATTTATTGCATCTGACCTTCCAGGCTAGAGAAGATGGGGGCTCTAGATGTGACTGAAGTGGTTCATGGGCACCAAGGATGGCGCCTGATCACTTGCAATTGGCTACATGCTGGGCTTATCCATATACTTGCCAATATGTTGAGCCTTCTATTTATCGGAATTCGCCTTGAACAAGAATTTGGATTTGGTATGTGGCAATTACAACTCTCATCTTAATCACTAGCATTATTTAGCCTTTTATGATCAAACTCAGAGTGCTGCTCCAATGCAATAGAGTAACTTATTGGATATGTCGTATCTCCAATCCCTCTTACCATAGAGAAAAGAGGAACTACTGAACAGCTGAACTTGCACCCCTCTTGCCCTTTTTTCTTTCCAGCCTTAGTTGCAAATCAACAAATTTTCACTTAATTGCTGGGTGTTTCTTT